AATCATGTATGAAGTGGTAGCGGAGATCGATGTGCTTGTTGCGATTGTGAAGAATCGGATTCTTGCAGAATTAGATCGCGGACTTGTTGTCGACGTAGGGGATCACAGGGGCGACATCTTTATTCGGCATCTTGCTAAGAAGCCGAGCCATCCAGATCCCCTGACACACTATTGTTGCCATTGTGATGTACTCCACCTTGCACGAAGAGGTGGTGACAATATTTTACTTCAGTGATTGCCGGCTGATTGGACTGCTTCCAAGGGAAAAACATGCTCGAGGTGCTTTTCCTAGAGTCCACGTCGACGGTGTGGTCAGAGTCACTTTAGCTGACCAAGGTCTTGCCATTGCCACGGTGTTACACACATTCGTGCGTGAGTGTGCCAATGATGTAGTGGACCATGGGTTTGACAACTCAAGAATCATCGTTTGGCTGGAGCCTGCTCAGGAACCTGACGATGAACGAGATCTCCGGCCGAGTGTGCATGAGATACATTAGGTTTCCAATGACGCTCCAATAGAAGGTAGCGTCCACCGGCTTCTCCTTGATGAGCTTGCACTATGCCTAATTGGGAGTGCATGATGTGGCAGTCCGCCATGCCCGCTTCCTTGAGCAGCTTGGATGTTTAGGTCAGTTGAGTGATCGTGGTACGACCATGCTCCTGGTTCACCTCCAGTCTGAGTAGTACAAGAGCAGCCCAAGATCGCTCTTGTTAAAGAGCATTTTTCATATCTTCCTTGAAGTAGCGCACCTCGTGCGGCTCGGCTCCGGTGATGAAGAGGTCGTCGACATAGATGCCAATGATGAGCATCATGTCTCCAATTCCATGTGCATACACACCATTCTCGGAGGCGCTATGGGTGAAGCCAAGTGATGTCAAGCTTGTGTCCTTCTTGGCATTCCACGCCCTTGGTGCTTGCCGGAGTCCATATAGTGCCTTGTGTAGCCTGTATACTCAGTGCTTGCGTCCATCAGCTATGAAGCTATACGGCTGGGGCACGTTGACCTTCTCCTTGAGGTTGTTGTTGAGGAACACCAACTAGACTTACTTGTGATGGACCTTCCAGACCCGATGTGCCGCCAAGGCAAGGATCAGTTGCACGGCCTCGAGCCTTTCCACGGGTGCAAAGACTTCCTCAAAGTCCACCCTCGTGTGTTGTACATACCCTTTTTCTACAAGTTGGGCTTTGTGCTTGATGATGGTGCTGTCCTCGTTCTTCTTCACCATGAACACCCACTTGAGCCCAATAGCTCATGCCCTGGAAGCAATGTGGTGAGTGTCCAAGTGGCTTTGTCGTTGATTGATGACAGCTCATCCAACATCACGTGGTGCCAATAGTCCTCATGCTCTCCCTCAATGAATGTGGTTGGCTCCTTGGTGGCCATCATCAAATGCAACACCTCATTGTCATCAAGGCTCTCCGCCAACTATGGCAGCTCGGTGAGAAGGTCATCAATGCTTCGGTACTGGTGTTAGGCACCGGTGCTGTGGATGGCATCGCTCAAGTCTGACCTCGCGATCAGTGGAGTTGTGAAGTGAACTGGCTCGACCTCACTTGGTGTGTCCGGGGTCGCTAAGCGTGGGGCTATTGTGCCCACTGTGCTCCGAACCACTGGGCTTGGGGTCGCAGTGCTCGGAGTTGCTTTACCCGGGGCCGCTGTTGTGCTCGGGGTTGCTTCCTGAGCACTAATGTTGGTCGCATAATGTACTCCACAGTGAAGGAGCTGCTCACTGGCGCCTCTCCCGGCACCTCCCAGCTCCAAAGTGCCTCCTCATCAAAGACAACATAACGGGAGATGTGCACGCGCTTTGGGACGAGGTCATACATCTTATATGCCTTGGAGCCTGTCTCATAGCCAAAGAACACCATTGGGTTGCTTCGGTCACTGAGCTTATTCAGGTGTGGTGTGTCATCTTGACATGCCCAACGCACCCGAAGAATCGGAGGGAGCGCACGTCTAGCTTCTTCATGTACCACGACTCGTAAGGCATCTAGCATTCGACACTCCTTGTGGCGGTTGAGGATAATGACGATCATGAGCATGACCTTCCCCCAATACGTGCTCGACATCGGGTTGGCCTTGAGCATGCTGCGTGCCATTCCTAGCATGGTCTGATTCCGTCGCTCAAATATCTTTCGCTCTTTGCAAGATCAATGCGGTTGTCAGGTGCGGAGCAACTATGGTCTTCTTGGGCAGTTCCCAGACTGATGTTCTTCGGTTGGCTAGTCCTCACATTTCGGTGTTGGACTTCATATCGTCTTCAATCATGGGGAATGTCGCACCACGGGCCTACTCGCTTTGCCTTCAGGAGCCCAAATGCATTCACCGCCTCATTGTCCAGTGCTCAAGGACAATATGGTTTCAGGTCTTCAACCACTTGGATTGGGGAACATGTTGAGACTGGTGGACACACATCATCACCTTGACTGGTGGCGTGAAGTGCAAAGAGCTAAATCCTCTCACCATTTTCACAATGAATTGCATTTGGCATGAATGGAATCAATGCACATTCAAGAACATATATTCGTCAACCTTCATGGTTACCAGTCGTCTTTGTAATAAGTGGAGACTATGGCTTGTGGTGTGGCAACAAAAACATAGGGTAGGTTCTCTACTAGACGAGCGTGAGTAGTCCAAGTGGTTCTCTGGTGGCAATGTGGCATAGACTAGAGTAGTCACCCCCTAATCATTGTTTTTTGTAACTAATTATGCATTTCCTAATGAACGTTGCACAAAGCCCTTGTGTATCCGATGAAAGGGTGAATGGATCATATCTGCATCTACCAATGCCAACAAAGATCTTGCTTATTCTAGGGAAGACACAATGAACGGGTCTCAATGTAAGTACAAAATGGCGCATCGAGCTCTTACATATTCCGACAAAAATAATGATGAAACGAACCACACAATGCCACTACAAGTAAAATGTGTTGTTTAGCAAATTCCTACTCACAAGTTATCCATGCCATTGATGGTTGTGGGCGCTCAACGGTAGTCCATCCCTCGCTCCTCAGACGGATTCAAATGGACCTACGCAATACATAATGGAGTCGATAGATTATGCCTTCTCTCTGAGATCGATGTGGATGTTAGGTGCAGAGAACTATAGTCTTCTCGGGTACCTCCTAGATTGAATTTATTTGATTGGTTGTTCCTCAAAAATCAGGGTTGGACTTTAAATGGTCTCCAAGCATGGGGTGTATGCTACACCAATCGACCTGCTAGATTTGCCTTCATAAGCCCAAATATACTAACCAACTCATGGTCGAGTGTTCTTTCTCACCGACGGTCTATTCTTAGGTTCTTCAACCGCATGGATTGGAAGAAATAGCCCACTCCTTTGATGAACTTGGTCAATAGATGGATAGTCGTTAGCGCCTCCGCTGGTGGTATGAAGCATAAAGAGCTAAATTCTCTCACCATCCTCACCATGAACTTCATTTGGCGGGAATGGAGTCAACACACCTTCAACAACGTCACTTCATCGACTTTCACGGTTATCAAGCACATTTGTCATGAGTGGACACTAAGGCTTGTGGTGTGGCAATAAACATGTAGGGTAGGGAGTCTAACAGCCAAGTGCGAGTAGTCCGTGTCGGTCTTCGATGGCAATGTGGCGCGGACTGCGGATGGTCACCCCCAATCACGCTTTCTTATAATCGATTCTACATTTCTTAACGATAGGACACACGAAGCTCCTGCATTCTCCAAGGGGAAAAAGATGAACATACCATCAATGCAACTTCAAACACCACAGCCGGTGTATTCTAAGAAAGGGTGAACATACCATCCATGCAACTACAAAACGATGAGTGAAACGCTCGTGTATTCCAGAAGAAGAAAGAAGAGGAACCTCCCACCAATACATCGCCATTCTTGCTCTAAGTTTCGTCATGTCGTATATTGGTGCAAATTTAACTTTTCGCGCCATTGAGTTGAAGAACAAAGGAGGATACTACAATACAAGCATCTCTTAGGGTGCAAAAGCAGAAAAAAAATCAACATGGACCATCGGATCTCGGACGGATGAACCAGATTCGGGCGGGAGAGCAGTCGAACAGTTTCGATCGTTTTGTCGAAAGCCGCCTGGCTAACACCTATATTGAAAGCAGGCCCTTCCGGTGGCTCCCACATGACAAATCCAGGTTATCCATCCCAGATCCAACGGCCTACGTTCTATTCTTTTTTTTTCTATTTTGCAGCAAAGGGGGTGAGGGAAGGACTGAACCAAGAAAACCCGGAAGCTCGGGGTGTAAACCATAAACGGCAGCCACACTAACGACTTCCTTCCTCCGCCCCCTCTCTCTCCACCCCTCCCCCCACTTTCCCACTCTGGAGTCGTCGTCTCTGCTCCGGTCTCCGGAGAAAAGCAAAGCCAGCGCCGAGCAGCAAGCCCCACACGCCAATTCGGAATCCTTCTCCTCCCCTCCAGCCCCGCGATCCCGCCCCTCGCCGCCTGCCCGATCGGCCTGCTTCCTGCCGGGGTAAGAAGTTCCGCCTCTCCTCACGCCTAATTCGGTCCCCAATCGCGCGGTTGTTGGTTTTTCGGGTGATCGATTGCTGTTTTTTCGCGCGATTTGGAGGCGGATGGGTCGTCTGCGCGTCACCGTCTGCTGGGTTGTTGCGCCTGGTTGACGGATTTTGGAGGGATGGACGATTGAGCTGGGAAGGGTCTGGAGATTTTTTTTTCTTGTTTTCTAGGTTGAGGGGCTTAAAGTTCGTGTGTAGACGTGTAGTATAGATGTAATTTTGGTATTTACAGAAAATGAGCACAAAAAAATTATGTCTGTCATTTACAGAAAATGTTCTTGGTTGTAAGATAAGCAATTTTGGTATTTTCAAACTAAAATTACGTGTTGTGTATGCTTGATAGCTCATTTCTAATGTTCAGCTTGCTATAACTGTAGGTCTGGTGGGTGTACGGAAGAGGGCATTTCTTAGTTGAGGATGTACAGTTAATCTGCAGCAGCTCGAATTGTAGCATTTGGTTCTTCTGACATGGCTGAAGGGGCAAGGTTTCATGGCATGGTTGGCGGTGGCGGCAAGGGGATGCAAGAGAACGAGTTCAATGGCTTCTTCAGCATGCCCTACTATCAGAAAATTGGGGAGGGCTCCCACATGTCTGTCGACAGCACTGACAACTACAACCTCGCCGGTGGCTCCGTTACCATGTCAGTGGACAACAGCAGCGTGGGCTCGAACGAGTCCCGTACTGTCATACTAAAGCACCCGGGCCTCCGTGATGCCCCAACCGCAAGCTATTCGGTTGGCAACAGTGTCTTTCGTCCCAACCGTGTGGCTGCGCACACCCTAAATGAAGATGCATTGGCCAGGGTTCTGATGGACCCAAATCATCCAACAGAGATACTTAGCAAGTACCAGCAGTGGGCCATTGATCTGGGGAGGTTGGATATGGGGGTTCCCTTTGCACAGGGAGCCTTTGGGAAGCTGTACCGGGGAACATATATTGGAGAAGATGTTGCCATTAAGCTGCTGGAGAAGCCTGAGAATGATATGGAGAGAGCACAATCGTTGGAACAGCAGTTTGTGCAAGAAGTTATGATGTTATCTACCCTAAGGCACCCAAATATAGTAAGATTTATAGGGGCCTGCAGGAAGTCAATTGTGTGGTGCATTATTACTGAGTATGCAAAAGGTGGCTCAGTCAGGCAGTTCCTGGCAAAAAGGCAGAACAAGTCGGTACCTTTGAGGCTGGCTGTCAAACAAGCATTGGATGTAGCGAGGGGAATGGCGTATGTGCATGCTTTGGGATTTATCCACAGGGACCTGAAGTCGGATAATCTTCTAATTGCAGCAGACAGATCCATTAAGATTGCTGACTTTGGTGTTGCTCGAATTGAAGTGAAAACAGAGGGGATGACACCAGAGACAGGAACCTACCGCTGGATGGCACCGTAAGTTCAATTGATGTTTGGTTTTGTATGTAGATAGCTATCTTCAACATTTGAAATCTATGGTGTTTGTCATTTAATTTATTTGCACATGCCAAATCCTGTATCCGCTCATACAGTTGCCAAACCTTCACCGTAGAAAATTCAACTGCTTGTCAGTAATCTATTACTGTAGAGTGTTATTTACAAACTGTACATAGAGATTGTATGCACCAGGTTCGCATATAACTCAAACTGTACATGTTGTTGCCTTGTGTTAGACAGAAGTATCATCCACCTAGTGCCATCTTAATTTTGCATCTGATTAACAGCCTTCTGCTGCACCCCTGAAACGATTGAAGGTTGGACTAACCTTATAATTATTAACGAAGCAAGTCTATTATACCACAGTTCCAACTTTTTGTCCATACAAAGCATGGTCCATCGTAATCCAAATTGAAATATTGCAGAGTTGGCAACTATTTTCTCAACAGTAGAGTAGTAGGGTACTGGCGGGCTATTATACCAGTAACATAACTAACAGATAATGTTCCCTTTTCTGTTTGCATATATTAAATTCTCTTTGCATACATGGAGAAATGGTAGAGAAGCGTTTCACTTCGATTGTCTCATAGTAACAAGCTGCTTCTATTTGTTCCTCTCTCGCCAAAATTTCAGCGTTATGCTTTGTATATAATTGATGATGTAGTGGTTGGTCTTTTTGTGTGTGCAGGGAAATGATCCAGCACAGGCCTTATGATCATAAAGTTGATGTCTATAGCTTCGGGATCGTTTTGTGGGAGCTTATAACTGGCATGCTTCCTTTCACAAACATGACAGCTGTTCAGGCGGCTTTTGCTGTTGTAAATAAGGGTGCTCGTCCAGCAATCCCACATGACTGCCTGCCTTCCCTAACCCACATCATGACGCGCTGTTGGGATGCAAACCCTGAAGTTCGCCCACCATTCACCGAGATCGTCTGCATGCTTGAGAACGCCGAGATGGAGGTCGTGAGCCATGTCCGTAAAGCACGCTTCCGCTGCTGCGTCGCTGAACCCATGACCACCGACTGAAACTAAAGCAGGTTAGACTATCGCAGCGGGCATTAGGGAAGAAAACAGGTAAGGATGAAGAAAAGAGGCAATGCCATTGTGTTCATCGTTGCCGGTGCGTGGGGTCTGTGTGCCTTTACCAGTGCGCATTCTGTCTTGTGTAAGTTGCACACCTCAAGTAAAAGTAATGTCGTATAGATGTTGCCTTGTATGCTAACAAGGACCTAATGGAGCTTTTCCGTGTTAATAATATCCGCTTGCTCTTGTACTTGTGCAAGTTTGTGCTTCGCATTTGCGTGCTCTTGTTCATCATTATGTTGATTTCTGTGGTGTCGGTTGCCTGGACACTATATTGCGGTTCATAATATTTTTGCTTTTTTTTGCACCAATTCTTGCTTGGTTGGTAACCTGTCAATTGGATCAATCACTGTCACTTGATCCAAAGGTTATGCTAATCATGGTGACACTTCAACATATGAACAATCCAGCTGGTGATTTCATTTTGAAAATCACAACTTGTTGAGCTGTATATTTTAGTGGCTGTTCTGCCTCAGTATCAGCCACATACTGGCCTGATTCAGGCTGATTTATATTGAAGACAGCCGTGATGGTGACCCGGTTCTACATCTTGTGTGTCCTAACGCGAGCTGTTTGGATGGTTTGCTTTGAGGAGACAGGATCGCTTTCTTTACCTGGAATTATATGATTATAGTCTGTTCTTTGATGTATGTGTGTGCACGTTCTACAGAACAAAATTATAATTTAAATTGTGGACAAGTCAAATTAGACTGTTCCCTTCTGCCTGCGCAATGAAACAAATTAGTGTTATCTGCATAACAAATATGAAATCATATCGTCTATGATACCCCTCTTCTGGTGTAGCAAATGGTAAAAAAGATCGCCGCGAATCAGTAATGGAGATTACTAGTGCAATGGCTTGTCAGGGAGAAGAAATATACAAGTCATCACTTCATGAAACAAATCATGTCCAGATTCATCAACAATGGTTTCAAAAGAGCCAACAAATGGCAGCAGGTTTGTACAATGGAAAAATAACAAGGTGACCAATGAGTATGTAGGTAACATGAACAGTGAGATTTTCTTGACAGGAGCAGTTCTTGCATAAGCTCTTCCTGGCTGTAGATCCAAAATCGTACAGAAGCTTGTGTGTCTCGCGCATCAATTCATCCGGTTTACGCCGAAGAAAGTGGATTCATAGCCACTGCTGGCGCCGTCCATGGTGAAACGGACAAACTGAGGCGATGGCGCCATGGGCTGTCCTTCGGCACAGGACACCGACGGAGGGCTACCTCCATGTGGTGAAGGGCCCCGGCTGTTTTGGCTAGCACCAGTGAATTGGACGAGACAAGATGCTTGCTGTACAGGATCAGGTAATCCACAAGAACTAGCTGACAGAAGAGAGAGAGCACGCTGAAGATCCGGTGCTCCACCAAATTTCGAAGCGGTTACAGATGCGTCCGGACCTACAGGAGTTCATCAATCGGTCAATCAAAAGGATTCCCTCACCAAAGTATGGACACTCAAGAACATCCAAAGTGTTGGGAGCAGAGATATCTGCAAAGGTGAATGAACATCATGTGGCTCATATGCATTCGAGATATATTCCAATCAAAAACAATTGAGCAGTATTGCTGACAAGCAAACTGCAGTATATCTGGTTATATATAACTAGTCCTTCATGTTGAATTATGAGTATATTGCCCACCTCTCCTCGTCCGCTTAACCTTTTGGTTTTAACTGTTTTGAGGCATGAAACTCAACAGTCTATTATTCACTATTAAGGACTTTAATGAATGGACATACCAAAGTGAATTGGGAGTTCCTAATAAGCTTACTTATGCATATTACCAAAAGCATTGCCATGACACCATTCTAACCACAAGATCACTATTGATTGTAGTTCTAAATGTGTGATGTTGGTTTTTATCAAAACTTGGTATCATTATAATTGCTATTTCAGCTATACCTGAAGCCCAATTAATCCAGTGCAATGTAGGTGCAAGCTGTTCCAACGGAAATTCATAGTAGTGATTAACTGATTAATCATGTTGTAAGTAGAACATTTGATAATAACTACATATATCCAAGTGTTGCATACTAGCGTTTCTATGTAGGTGCAGGAAAACTAGTCATATATCTCAATACTGAAAAACAACTTGAGTCAAATCACCTCAGGCTGAAAAACTACACAAAACATAAATTTTGCCACACAATCTAGCATAAAACCTCCTTTTTCTCTAACAGTCCAGTTCATTTAATCTACAACGATTTTTTTTCCTGATTCCTAAATGTAGAGCCATCAGGGCTTTGGAACCAAAGAGCAAAGACTAACAACTACTCCCTCTGTTCACAGATGTAAGACATTTTTGCAGTTTAAACTGCCAAAACGTTTTACATTTGTGAACAGAGGGAGTATATACATCAATGATGACAATTTTTTTCATGGGGAAACATTTCCACTTGTTGGGAACTATAAATGCTTGTGAACAGCAGGAGTTCAAAGTAAAAAAAAATTGAATGTTGGCAGGAGAGCTGCCAAATCTATCGATTAGAAAGGGGCCTTACAAGAACATGCCAGGAGGAATGCACCGCATAAAGGCGATTCCAAAAAAGAAGTGAAAACGCGGGCTGCTCGGCTTATCAAGGAAAACCGGGCGGAAACCTAAACAGCGCCTAGCTAGTTCAAAGTAAGCTTTGTAGTGTAAGATTCACATATGTTAGAGATTGAGTGAAGGCCAAAAAAGCATCCCCCTCAGTCTGAGTGGGTGGAGTGGAAGTGGAACCACATTTTTACAGTGCCGACTTTTCCGAACAGAGAACCAGACTTTGCTCTCTCCGATTCAAGGATTTTCATAGGAATTTTTATACGTTTGTCATCCTCAAGATTTTTTCCCATGCTGGTTGTTCAATTTGTAGGATTGTAACCAGTAGGAATTTTTCCTACAGGTCTTCTGTACTCCATTCTAAAATAATCAATTGACTCAAACCAGTTGGGATGATTCCTATATTATTATTTTCTATGTTTTTGAAAATAACAATTGAAAAGGTATTATTTTCTATGTACAACCAAACATCTTTCAATCCTGTGGGATTCAAGATGGCATGGTATTACAATCCAACTTTTCCCTGCTCTGATGTTTTTGGAATCCCACGAATCAAAGAGGCCTACATTACAAAGATGTAACATTTTTTGCCCGTAATAAATGTGCCAGACCACCTAGGAAAGAAGATAGCATGCAGCTTTTTTTTTCATCAATGTGAACTGCGATGGATACAAAATGACTGACAAATCATACCTTTCATTGGTAGCAGCTCAGGTATGTCATGACTCAGTGCTGGAACAGCATTGGGTAGATGAGATTTATCAAAGTGAACTTGCCCATTGATTGATACTTCTCTTATTTCCTTCACTTGCGGGAGCTTGAAGTCAGATGGGCTGTCCCATGGAGAACATGGGAAAGGCCTTCCATGACTAAGTGGATCTTTATTCCAGACAAAACTTATTTGCCGTCTATCATCTGTAACATCAATGGCAAAAGCATTTATTATCGGTACAAAGGTACCATAAGAAAGTAAAAAAAATTCAACCGACTAGCTATCATCTCATATATCAACTATTGAAGATAATTTCTGACCAATCATGGCATTAGCGAAAGCCGAAACTCATACCTAGCTCAAACACAATTTACTGAAGAAGTTCAACTCACAACTAGCCAATTATAAGCTTAAGAGCAGTAGTTTCAGTACAATGTGGTGTGGAGAGCAAGGGAGAATATAAATCCTGCATAATTACCCACTTAAAGTATGGACATATTACCAAACATCAATGACGATGGGAGCCTTGCCGGTGCAAAGGAGAATGCGTCCGGCTGTGGCTTCCGGCGCCGAGCATTGTGATCGGACAGTCGCCTCCGGCAGCTCCTCTTCTTCTGGTCGAACTCCGACAGCCCATGGAACCTTGATCACCAAAAGCCAGGTAATCAGCAAAACCACAGACAGTACTACATATATAGACTACTTATGGAGAGTATGTACCAACTAAGATCTAAGAGTATGCATACACAGAAGAGAAATCTCGACACAGTAACTGAATCACAGTAGCCACATCACAACAGAATTTCAGCCCAAAAGTGCACATACACAGCACAGGGACAAGTGCCCTGCCAAAAGTCCAAAACTGGAAACAGGTGGTATTGCACAGCCGTTCAGCCATGCCATGCAGCACGATTCTCCACAGGTCGACAGTACTATAATTGTGGGGAAAAGGCATCTTCGCCTCCCAAATCGGGAAACAAGCCGTACTCGCACAGGATAACCACAGTTTCCGGGCACACAAGGTTCCCGGATTAATCAACTGACGACGAACGGAATTATAGCGCGGCGCGACGCAACGTGCTCTAAGGAAGTGCAGAGTTCGCAGTCGGAAAGACGGGGCCCGTTGAATCTCCTGCTTCCCGGAGTTCCAAGAACGAATAACGAGCAGGGAGTAGAGTAAGAGCAATCGCAGAAAAAGAAAAGAAAAGAAAAAAGCAATCGCAGAAAGGTCGAGCTTGCAGCTCTGCAGAGAGCAATCGCAGAAGTCAAAGAAAAGCACGGCTCGGGCGAGCAAACAGGGTGCAAGAACAAAACTCGGGCGAACAATCTGGGAGGGTCAAGAAACACCCACCGGCTGCACTGCTGGCAGAAGCGGCGCTCCTGGCCGGCGACGACGACGCGGGGGGACTTGGTGTGGGCCTCGCAGACCCGGTGCTTCCGGTGGTACTCCTTCGCGTCGCGGAGCTCGACCCCGCAGCCCTCCACCTGGCACCTCACGCCCCCTCCTCCTCCTCCTCCTCCTCCGCCGGCCCCCTCCCCCCTGGCCCGCTTCTCCTTCCCGCGCCTCCCCGCCGCCTCGCCGGAGGAGCCCGGCGCGGCGGCGTCGCCCCAGTCCCAGAGGAGGTGGGGCGGGGAGAGCGGGGTGGACTTCGGGGCCGTCCACTCCATGCGGGGCGGGGTCTTGG